CGTATAGACGTTCTGGACAATGACATTGCTGCCGCAAAACGAACAGAATGTATAAACTTTGCTTCTCTTGGGCAGTAGGACTCGCAAAGTAGCATAATAAAATAACCGAAATTTGTAGAACGTTCAACTGTTTTCTGAAGCTGTTGCTAAGCTGTGTTCCCTGATGGCGAACTATATACATATAGTATCTGGGCTGTGACTTATTATATATAACGATCGTGATGATGAAGTACTGTTGCTTGTACATCTACGTTACTCTTCCCCTGAATGGAGTGCGTCATTTGCTCTGTTTACTGTAGCTCTATGATTGTTCTATTTCCAAGTCAAAGACTCTCCTTTGTTCTGAGGGTGGACCCCATTTCACGAGTTTCGAGAATCACGGTGGAAGATGATCTCCAGTCCTTTCTTCATTGATTGTGTAGCGGTTTTAAACCGATTTGCTCTTCTGACTTCAATCCGGTAAGCTTGCAGCTCATGTTCCTGGTAGCAAGCTGCTGCATCGCACTACGGTTCCACAGCATGCCATTTGCAATGTCCATTCGACCGTGGTATACATTTGCAGGTCAGATCTGTTGTCGTTATCGTCACTGTCTTAATGTTGAAGATTTTCTGTTCCTTAAATTGAATTCAGTAAGCGGGGAAAGAGAGAGGAAGGAGTACTTCAATTTTCAACAAGAATAAGAGGTGCAGCGCACGGAATAAACAACTTTGCAAAGAAAGTACAGGGTGCCAACGTTGTCTGATCCGTTTGAAATGGATTTGATGAACCTCAGATTAGTATGACGCGTTTTTTACTGATGCAGCAAAGGTCTTCATCGCCATAAACAGAACTCTTCCGCTACAATGTGCTTGCACGATTTATACTTTTCTCTAACATATCTGTGTCCGTCCGTCGCTTCCCGCGGAAGAAACGTTATGAACGGTTTCTATTCTTTTTGGAGCCGCTTTCGTAGGTCTGTTGAGCGAACCAACACAGCTGACTCGCCGAACGTGTTTTTGTGAAAACCTTGAAGTTTTGTTCATGATGGCAGCAAAGGGAATAAACATAGGTAACATCGTTTACCTAGGTGACAACGGTTTAATCTTAACACTGTTGAATAAGCAAAGCGCAATTACCCTGCCCAGCGTACTGCCGTTACAGTTTTACTTCATCGGGATCAGAATTTGTTCTCAAATTGGGATGATAGATATGGGTAAAGCTAAGTCAGTGTGAGCACTATTTCGAGAGCAGTGTCGAGAGTTCGCAAGATTCAGTTCAAATTAAGTGTTTCTCTGAAAATGCTACATGTATTCATTC